GATGGTGCCATTATGTGCCATTGGCACAGTGGTCATGGGAAGTGGCCGAAGACCTTTAAGCCTTAGCCTTTTCTTTTGCGCAGACTCGTGGCATCTCGTGGCATCTCGTGGCAGGTGGAATGCGATGTTTGCCGCGCCTGCTCTATCGAGGCAGGAGATTCATGACTTCCGGTAGCTTCTGGGAGTTTTTAGGATGGCCGTGTGCTAAGCAATGTGCATCATGTGCTTCCCCGGATCCACGGTTCACAGGCAGCTGGCTGTGGAGAGCAGGGACCTGGAAAGGCTGCCTTCGACTGCCAGGGCCCAGATGCCGAAGTGCCCCATCCCTTTCCAAGCCACGGCTCCACCAAGCCACGTCCTAGGCCACGCTGCCCTGGGCAACTGGCCGGATGTCTCAGCACCGTTGAGATTCGTTGAGAAAGTTACTGCCATTTCAAACATTTTCAAACATTTTCAAACATTCCAAACTAAAAAGAATCTGATGCTTCGAGTTGTCTAAATGACGATTTCGTCGATCCTCGAAGGTGCCGCGCCTGGTCTCCTGCGAAGAAGGTCTGGTGCTGCAACGAGAAGCAGAAAGGCGCCGTTTGCCACGCAGGGAGCTCTCCACGTTGGAAGTTGCGTGGAGCGGCGCATTACTTTGTACTTGATAATCTTGATATCAGACTTTAAAACTTCACAAAAGTTCTCTGGCAGGCTGCCAGTCCCCTGACACCCCACCCAACTGTGATGCTGGCGCTGGCAAAATTTGGAAGAGTCTTGGTCAAAACTGTACAGATTTCTGCTCTGGAGCTGAAAGCCACTTTGGGAAGATCAGTCATTATCTTCTTGTTTGAGACAGCACTCAATGTGTTTTCGCTCTAAGGAAAGTGTTCATCAGTGGCCACTGGACTTGGGAGGTACAGCTTTGGATTTGCACAGTTGTATGTTGTACATGAAAGAAGAGTACGGTAGCACTCCTCGAATCTCTCTGAAAGGCGCAAATGGCCGGTGGCGCGGTTTCCGTGCATCAGGGGTTTTCTTGCCATGCAGGCCTTTGTGCTTCTGTACACATTTGGAAGCTTCACGTGTTCAATGGATGTAGCAACAAAGCAGTGTTTGTTCCCGATCTATTGACACGCCATGACAACCCATGGCACAGCCAAATGGTGTTTTCCTATGTTTTCCTTCTTGCTGTGGCCATACCAAACAATTGAAACATGCTGAGCCAGTGGTGACCGTCCACAGGCCTGCCGAATTGGAGCGCTGACTGGTCACCTGCCAAGAAGACTTGGTCACCTGGCAGCAGGGCTACCGGCGGCTACCGGGGATATCAAAACAGCAAGTTGCACGGAGAACATATCAATCCAAATATGATGATTACGCAAGCATTGGATTTTGGATGTGTTTTGGGCACCCTATCTTCAGTCCATATGATTCATAAGCATTCATAAGCATTCATAAGTTATATGAGTGTGGATGATCAGCTGCCAGAGTTTTGCCAACTTTGAAATCGACAGGTGCTGTTCCCATGAGAAGCTTGGCTGCCCCGGCTACGTCTACCATGGTGCTGATGCCGGAGCATTCAAGAAAGTTGCTTGGTGGAGTCCCAAAGCCGGATGATGGATGCTTGGGGTTAATCCCCTATGGTTACTTGATGTTCATATGATAGTTATGTTATTGAACTGTGGTGTTTAAATGTATTTAACATATTTTAACATATAATATGTCCATATATGTCCATTGTTTCCATTGTTTAGTTCAGCGGAATATCTATATATATATATATGAAGCTTTCCTGCACAATTTTAGAACAAACTCTGCGACCACTGCAGCAGTGGTACTTTCCGATGGGGCTTACACTGGCTGTGGTGATTTTTAATCATGGACTCGACTCGCCAGAAGCCCCTTGCTCACTTACGAGTGCTCCAATTTGAGGTTGTCGTCACTCACCACTACGTCTCTGGTGGCGGTGCAGCTGGCGGCGCAAGTGGCGGTGCCAGCTGGTCGTCATCGTCCAGTGGCAGCTGGCACTCTGGTGGACACGTGGTGGTTCATCACCATCATCACCATCATCACGTGGTTCACTAGGCTGGGCGTTGACACTTCAGGGCACCCCTGTTGCTGCGAAAGGGTCCCAGGGCTTGGGACTGTGATTATTGTGTCTGGAACAGTGAAATGATCTCTGCTCTTGTGGAGCCAAAGGTCAGAGCTGGAAGAGAAGCAGAACTCCAGAAGAATGCAGCAGGAGTCTATGGCCTGTGTATTGAATGAGTTATCTAAGAGATATTTATTGGTTCATTGGTTCATTCACTCACTGCACTGCCCTTGACAGCCAGAATTTCGGTATCAGATGAATTGTCAAAGTTGTCAAGTCCTTTCAGCTTTCGGAGTTGTCCCGACCTGTGATTCAAAGTTGCAAGGGCAATCAAGAAGATTGCCCTGGTCCTGGATTTCACGAATTGACTGCTTTGCAATCTCAAAGTGCTTGGGGAGAGCTTTCGGGTCCCAGCTGCGCCATGCTGCAAATGTTTCGAGGGTGAGAATGCGCAAGCAGTCAGAAGTATTGCGCCAGTTGTTTCAAGTCATTCGAGCGGCTGGTGATAGAGGTTGTGGCCCGAAGGCCGTGAAGGCTTCTTTCTATCGCTCGGATCAAAGCTGAGCTTTTTCTGAGCTGAATGGTTTCGCCGTTTCGCCTAGGCTTCACCACTCTCGAGGTTCATGCCGTATCTTGATGCTGAAAGTCTTAAGCTAGCTGCCCTAAATCAAGAAACATATTTATATAAGCGCCACTAGGACCAAGAGTGTATAAGAGCGGCTTCTGAGTTGTTGCTTCCTGAGTTGTCGCATGTCCTCTCAAAAACTGACGGACAAAGATCCGGAACGTTCAACTTTGGTGGAGGACTCTGTCCAAGATGTCTAAGGTTTTCGGATGACATTTGTGAATATTTGGATGTTAAAATGATGTAAAACTTCGGACTGGCCTTAATGACATGCCCAGCATTATTGCAATGAACCATTTTTTGGGTACTCCAACTTTGGATCGATACCCAAGTTGCTTCACCTGCAAGCTTTAGCCCAAAGATAGGCGGTCTCATGAAGACCAGATTTAGAGTTGCGAGCCGGGGCAACCACCATCTCTACAGCTGAATTTCCGAAGTATAGTTATTTTTTGTGGCTACTGTAAGATGTGTTCTTGCTGAGAATCTCTGAAGGCGAAACATCCCACACCATTACATCCTGATGGAGAATACAGATGGGGACCTTTGCTTGCTTCTCCTGCTGCAGTTTGAAAGCGCTGACTTAACGCCTTCGTGCTTGCGAAAAGATGGGTTTCGGCATGAGAGTTGTGAGCATCTTCAGTGATCTTCAGACTTGAGAACATCGGTTTTTTGCAAAAGTGAGGAGGTGTCTCGGCGTCTCCGTTTGATTGCTGAATACCTTCCATAGTTGCGTTTAAAGAGTCATCCAAGGTCCAAGGTGATCTTGTGCTCAATTTCATCAGGTCAATGGTAATCACATTGGTCTTTTGGGTTCTGCCGGGCCAGACATTCTAGCTCAAATCTTCAGAAAGGGCGCTCTAGGCCTTGGCTCGTGCCCCAGATCTGGCAAAGCCACTGGCAGTGTGCAGCTACAGTATTTTGATGTATTTTGTATTCAGACATGCTTGAAATATCTTGAAATCAATGTGGTTTTCCCAAAAACTCATGGTAATTACCCCCAAAATCCAGTTGGACATACTTGGACTATCGCAATTTTTCTCACGAAAACGATGGGAAGTTGCCCAAACATGTCCCAGCCAGGATTTTGAGCCAACAGAACAAGAGAATCCTGGTCACCTATGGCGCCAGTGTATGTTGGAGACCTCAGTTTTACTGGTAGTATTTCAGTTTCTCCCATGGCAAACGCCCCCCAAGATCCTACCAGTAGATATATACAATATAATATAATATATAATATGCATGTATGTATGTATGTATGTATCTATCTATCTATCTATCTATCTATGTATCTATGTATCTATGTATCTATGTATCTATGTATCTATGTATCTATGTATCTATGTATCTATGTATCTATGTATCTATGTATCTATGTATGTATGTATCTATGTATGTATGTATGTATGTATGTATTAATGTATTAATGTATGTAATGTATGTATGTAATGTAATGTAATGTAATGTAATGTAATGTAATGTTATGTAATGTAATGTAATGTTATGTAATGTAATGTAATGTTATGTTTTGTTATGTATGTATGTATGTACGTATATATGATATGTTTATGTTTATATAGATATGTGTATATATATACATATATATATTTATTATGCATGTATACATACACATAGATATGCATATATGTATGTTATATTTGTAGTATTAACCCCAAGAGAAACGCAATCAATCGCAAGGCAATGCCCCACTTCCCCCAATGACTAGGCCAGCGGCGGTCAATACGTCACGGTGGGCCAGGGTGTTGGCGGCCAAGTGAGTGGCGGCGGTGGTGGAATAGGCGGGTCACACCTCTTGAATGATGGTCAATTATCAGTGGTTCCATTAATTTATATTAAATGGCCATAGATTGAAGTTGAATGGCAAACTAAAAGTGCCAGAGACAGCCCTGTAAAAAATGATTAATGTGGATTGGTATGAGCCGTATGTAACCATATGATGCCTTGTCTTGATGATAGATTTATGATTCATGACCGGGTATGGGAAGCTCGAAAAGACCAGCCATGATGACTCTTTCAATTTCCGCAGCGTTGCAGGTAGCTGGCTCTTTAGAACCTTGGCAGCGATCTGTGAAGCCAATTCTCTAATCAGTAGCGAGGCATTTGAAGGACCCGAACATACCAGAACTGTTCTACTTTTCCAAGTTTCTCAAGGTGGTTGGCAATTAAATGTTGGCTGCTTATCTCCAGCTGAGAAAATTCTGCGCCGGGCTGAGGCCTTTTCTATCAGAGGTATGCTGACAGCCATACTGAAGCAATCACTTACACCGGACCAGGCCTGGGGCCCAAAGTCTGAGCAGAGATCTGGTGCAACTGGAAATGTGGGGGGATAAAGCCAGCTTTTTCGGGGCTTGATATTCGACGGTGTCAGGATTCCTAGGGTGGGAACCATATTGGTGTTGAATCACGAGATTTTCATCGATTTTCAGTGATTCAAATGTTGGAGATGTGAGCAACCGTCCAAGGACAAGGCAACATCGAAAGTCGCCTTGTTGAGGTTGGGGCAGGCGGGGCACCTGCAGCAGTGCACGGTGAATGGGGTGAAATCCATTGAATCATGGTTCCGGTTCCCATCAGTAGAGGACCATTTTTTCAGTTTTCAGAAACTATTATTTGATATTATTTGGATTTATTGGATTTATTGGATTTATGTGGCTTTTTCATTTCTGAAAGGCCTGCAAAGGATTCCATGCCGGATCTGACATGTCTGACATGGAGAGTTTCGGTTTCATTCTCCAAGATCCCAACTCGCAGGTCAGGGCAGCTACATGGCGAAGAGGACGCCAACCTACAGCTACAGGCCAAAATTTCGCCATGAAGTGGCTTTTGAATCAAACATCTGTGGATATGGAAACTTGAGAAAGTCTGGAAGATCAAGTGATTTTCTGGAGCGATACTTGGATGTTCCTAAAATTGGGTGCCCCAAACCAGCTGTTTCCCAATGAAAAACGACAATGTTTTGATGATTTTGGGGTCCTCCATGTCGCCATCAGGCCACGCTATTGCGTGATCTGCTGCTGCGGCTTCTTTGGTAACTCGGAGAAAAGGAAAAAAACGCGCCGCAGCAACGTAGGGCGACACTGGATGGCGACGGATCATAGAGTGCGTTTGAATTCCGCACAATGGGGCAGTGATGACTGGTGTAAGAGAGGGCAATTTCTGCAGAGAAAGTTCTTCCAGAAAAAGATGGAAAAGTGATGAAAAGTGACAGAGCGAAGGATTTCGTTGAGCTGCGCAGTTGAGGTCTTCTGCTGATCCTAATCCCCTTGCTCATGCTTTGTGAGGCAAGAACACAGAGCAAAGGTTCAGTCACATGTCAGGAGCAAATGTTGTATCCCTGGAGATCCAGTCATGAGGCTCCCCCCGGATATTGATTGGGGGTTGACACTACCAAAAATTCCACTGTGTGCTCTTCTGGCTGGTAACGGTCACACCGTGCAAACCACGATTTTTGACCGCGAAAAGTCGAAAAGACGAAAACTCGAAAGGCCGAAAAGTTTGCAGTTCAGGAGATTTTTGCTCGAAAAGTCGAACAAAAATCGAAAATTTAAAAAGTCGAAAAAATCGAATAATTGAAAACTTTTGGACTTTTTTGTTTTTTGACTTTTTGCGAAAAGCTTCACTAGAAAAGTGACAAATCGCTTGGGGTTTTCGAGGTGTTGGAGCACAGGCAGTATGCACGCAGATGTTTTTTTTTGCTGTTTTGTTGCTGTTCTTTGGTTGTTTTTTTTGTTCTCTTTCTAGGGGCGCGCAACGCAAACCTGCAATTACCTCGACAGGATCATATTGCCTACACGATGTTGTGGATTCCTCCAGTTTTGTGGGTTTTGAAAGGGTGGATACTGGAAACCCACAAATGGTTGGTTTGCACAATTCCTATCTACGGGATTTAACTATGGTTATTAAACTTGTGTCGGGCAGTGGGTTGGGCATTTTGACATACTAACTTCATAAGCCAACAAGCTGAAATAACGTGATATTGAGATTCTTCACAATTAGTTGCCATATCTGGGGCTTCTTTGAGAAGTTTTCTGAAGTTGGATATGGCATGACCTGGTATTTTTTTTGCAATGGTTTGTCACCGTTTCAACGATACAATTACCAAGAGAACACTCTCCGGGTGTGCGGCAAAAAATTCTCAGATGCCGCACTGAAGGGTTGAGCCAAAGCAGCCCATGGTTTGATTTGTCGTCTGGGGGAGTGCACCTTCAATAAACTTCGAGCCCACGCTGAACCATCTGAACCATCTTAAACCAATTTAAACCATACTTAAGCGTAGCATCAAGGGAAAGACTCACGGGAACAGGCAGCAAAGCATCAAATACAGGATGAAGTTGCAGCGCAGCAAAGAAGTGCAAGAAGACGTTGAAGCCTAGCATTTGAACCCTAGCCAAACCTTGAAACATAGCATGAAACGCAAGATGTGCGTGAAGCGTAGCATCTAAACCCTAAACAAACCCTGAATAAAGCAAATTGTAGACCAAGTCGGAAAAAACAACGAAACCTAATCCAAGTAAACGTTAAACCAACCTTAAACCAGCTTAAGACTAAACCTTAAACCAACCGTAAACCAAACCTAGATAAACGACTCACAAAGCCCTCAATAAAGTTACAGCGTAGCATCTAAACCCTAGACCAACCCTACAAGCCCTGAAGCGTAGCATGAATGGCCAGTGCAAGTGGCAGCGTAGCATCAAAAAATGTCAAATCGAAGCGTAGCATTTCAACCCGAAACAAAACCTTGAAAGGAGACATCAAATGCAAGAGGAGCTTGAAGCGTAGCATCTAGACCCCAGACAAACCCTGAAGAAAGCAAATTGAAGACCAAGTCTTAAAAAGCCCTCAACCTAACCCAAGTAAACCTGTCCAAGCCTACAAACCTTGAAGCGTAGCATGAAGTGCCAGTGGAAGTGACAGGGTAGCATCAAAGACAAGGTCAAGTTGAAGCGTAGCATTTCAACCCTAAACAATCGTTGAAGTAAGATACTTATTTAAGCAAGCTTTAAGGGTTGCTGTCTTATCGTCTATATATCCTCAACAATAAGGCAAGCGAGTTCCAGGTTTGTGGGTCACGAAACTCCTAGCAAGAGACCTATACAAAAATAGCTGTTCATGAACTAGTATAGCTGTCTCTGTCTATGTTTAATCTATTCAGTCCAGCCAGTCGATATCTATTTGTACTATCTTTTGGTTCATAAGTTACTTCTCCTATCTATTGCACCAGTGAGAAAAAAAATGAACAGTTGAACAAAAGGTGGAAAAACACGAAAAGTCAGCAAGTCGAACACTTTGACTTTTTGAGAGTCGAAAGTTCGTTAAGAACTTGCTGACGGTTTGAAATCGAAAAGACCGGAAAAAAAGCAAAGCCGACAAGTCAAAAGCTTTCTATTTTTGAGGCGAAAAATCGGAGAATTCAAAAAAAAAGTCGAAAAAAAACGGAAAGTCGAAAAGTCAAAACAAATAAACAAAACCAAAAAAATGAAAAGTCGGAAAGTTCGCAGGCCAAGAGATTTATGTTCGAAAAGTCGAACACTTTTTGACGTTTTGCAAGAAGTCTCACCCTAAAAGTAAAAAAACGCAAAGTCGAAAAAACGAGAAGTCGAAATCTGTTGATTTTTTGCGAACAAAAATCACTCGAAAACATCGAATGGTCGAATACTTTTTGACTTTTTGACTTTTTGCGAAAAGTTTTGCGATTTTCACGCTGTGCGATTACCGGCGAGAGGAGCGCTTAGAAATTCCAAACAGTTTCAGTTTGCTGCGTCCGAGTCCGCCAGAACTGGTCAGGTGCAAAGGTTTTTTGGGTTAACAGACACGTGCGGGTCGGATGCTCAGAGCCCCGACTGAGACGAGCTGACGAGCTTGTGGAGGTGATGTCGTTTGATGTCGCAGTGAACAAACGCATGTTATCCACGCTGCCAAGGAGCTACAACGATGTGTGCGAAAGCACTTTGGCAGAAGTTTGTTTTAGACCTGGAGCAGTAGGGCAGCCACCAGTTCTTTCCCGGTGATGACCTTCCGTGCGAATAGGATTTCCTGTGATTGAAAATGGAGGCCCAATCAGGTCTCACCAGAATGTTTTCATCCTCAGGAACATTTCGACATCCTTGTAGAATGTATTACAATATGATATACTATGAACAACAATGACCAACTATGGTTCATGTATATAGACGTCTACCACACCTACCAGTTCTTCTCCTTTGTGGATTTCATTTTTTAAGTGTCTCTCTGACGCCAGACAACTGTGCGCTGCTGGCAGATGTCATGGGCTCAGCATGGTGCTAATCTCAGCCACCAGGGGACCATGGGATGTGCCACTGAGGCGTACAATATGAAGCCTTACTGCTGTGCAAGTTGCCCTTTCCAAGTCCAAAACAATGGCTTACAATGCGAGGCTGGTGCTGTCGGGGATAGAGATCCAGATCCAGAAGTGCTACTGTAGATTACTGTAGTTGCTTTTCCATTCCACTTTGTGCAAGTCGTGCATGCAGTGAACAAAACAAATATTTCATGGCGCAATTGAGGATGCTGCAAATTGTACAATGATTTGCTTGAAGAATCGATTGTAGGGGGAACACAGAGAAGGCAAAGACACACCAAATTCTACAGAAGGGTCCTGCCCAGTGACTTATCCTCACACCTAGGCTCCCCACAGCCCGCCTGAAATCCATACGGTGGTGCGCCGCCACTACAACACCATCTACAGGAGCACTTTTCCGGGTCGCGGGTCGCCATGTTACCGTTGCCCTGCTGGACTTGTTGTTGGAAAACATGAAATCATTGGGGTTGTCGAAACAAAACTTGGAACCTCATTGCATCCCATGGTTTATGTTGGTTTATGTTGGTTTATCATCTTTTTCCCATATTTTTTCCATTTGGCCATTTTGGGGTCTCAATTTCGCGACGTTGCCCGCCAGGAAGGTTCCTGTCAACCACTACGCCGTGTCCTGAATGGTGGGGTGTTGCTTCTCTGCTCAGTGGCGACAGCTTGCTGTGACACAAAACCTCTGTGAGCCGTGAACCCAACCCCAGTTGTTTGATTTTGTTTGATTGCTATAGTAATGTTAGTTTACCAGAGGATGACATAGCTATAAACAGTCATCCATGTTCAATAAGTAAATCATCTATGGTCGATTGGTTTGATTGGTTCAATGGGAATTGTGAATGAACCCACGAGCTCGCAATCTTCACTTCCTGAGACTGATGCTGAGGTAAAGGTCCAGATGCCCCAGCAACCACCTCTCGTCCACACAGTGAAAGTGGTGGTGCGCCTGTTTTGT